TTTCCCTAGGGCTACAGAAAGGAGAAAGAGAAAGTTACTTCCACTGTCAATCTCTTCTCCCCTTTCCTGCTAAATACATTCATTTCTTTGTGTCTATGCTTTCCCAAGCGTAACTCTGACATGATCCACGCATGCAATAATTAAGCATAAAAACGAATCCCACAAAATCTGCCTGTAATGGTACTCACACTGATACCAACAGGAACATTCATGAGAAGTCAATGTGCTATTTAAGGCACTTAGTCTTTTTGAAACCAAAATTAAAACCATGAAAAGTATATTGGACACAATACCCGAGTTCAACCTGAAGATATTTGGAAGAATAGATTTATAATCATCAGTTTGCTTCATTAAAAATTGCACTTATTTTTTAGTTTATTTTTAAAAAATTCTAGTTGATGCATAGCAATTGTACATATTCATGTTCAAGGAGTTTTTTCTTAAAATTTGCAAGATCGCATTAATATGAATGTGGCTGAAGGGTGTAAGAAATCTAAGAAAAGATATAAGACACGCTAACAAACATTACAAGAAAAAATAGGGCAATTAAACTATAGCTGCCTAAAAAGAAGAGAGAGCAACTTGAAAAATTGTAGTGACTATGTGGATAATAAAAGGGTAAGGCCATATAGTCACAATCCCATATAAGAACAAGCTGTAGTTAATGTAAATGAGAATAAAACAGGAAATCTTTACAGTGTCTATTAACAAGAACTGTTAATGTACTTCAAAAAATTTAGATTCCATGTGATGGAAATCTCTTCAAATTCAAAAGCAGATGACAATATATTTAGCTTTTTCAAAGAAATCAAAATGTCTTTCAGAGACCTTATTGAATATGTGGATTTTTTTTTTTTTTTGAGAAGTTTTGCCATAGGGCACATGTGCTCACCAGACAGACAGGGAGACAGAAAGTGAGAAATCACCCCCCAGGGGGAATGGCCATGACGCAATCCCTTCTCCTCCATTCTCCTCTTGGGATCTTGGGCATGCATGCACACGCACCCAGCGTGAGTTTTAAGCCACCGGGTCCGGGACTTGAACCGCGGTCGACTACATGGGAGTCCAGCAACACAGCCATTACACCAACTGCTGGTCCCTGAATATGTGGATATTTACCAAACATGAATTTTGGCACGGATGCTAAATATAGTGATAATGAACACTGTACAGAAGAAAAACAATTTTGTTTATACTACATGCATTAGTTAATTTTATTAGTAGTGTTTTGATCTGCCATAACATGACATATTATGTCACATGGAGCTAATATGTCCTTAGCAGTGGTATGGACTAAGATTGTACAGGTCATATTATGTCTTAGGATAAAATTTAAGAGGCAGTTATGTGATAATGCCCTAGCATTTAATGGTGATACCTAGACTTATTAATGAGAGATACACTGATTGATGGTTAATATTTGCTGAATACATATTAGGAGTCAGAAAGTCTGCATGCATTATTTACTTTCATCATGATTAGAACTCTAGAGGGCACGTACCAGAGACAGAGAGAGAGGGAATGGGAACAGAGATAGCATCCCCCATGTGGGATGGTCACACCTCTATCTTCTCCATCTCCCTCCTTTCTTGATTTAGGGCACACAAGCACACCATATGTGCCTGCCATAGGTTTTCAAGCTGCCAGGTCTAGAACTTAAACCATGCCATTGGCCTCATGGGATCCACTTTACTACTGCCTGGCTCTGGATGCTTTTTACCTACATTTAATAACAAGTAAACTAAGCCACAGGAGAATTCTATAACATACCTACGCCACTAAACTAGTAAGAGGTACATACACATCTAAAACACATCTGGGTCTGACTCCAAAGCACGTGTTTCTGAATACAGTATAATGTTTCCCCTAGATTTAGGGCTGTCAGGAATGACATGATGCATTTTTACCCAGAAAAAATACATCATGACTTTTCTGTCAACCCAATACAATTAATTCATTGAACAACTATTTAATAAACACCTATGATAGGCAAGACAGTCTTAAGAATTGAATATATGGTAACAAATACAACTCTGCCTTCATAGAGCAATCAAGCTAGAGAAGAAAAACAATTTAAAACTATTTGAGTAAGGGGCCAGCAGATGGCATGGTAGATAAGGCACTGGATTCCCACATGGCTGACCATGTTTCGAGTCCAGGACCCGGCCTAAAATCCTGAGAGGAGAATGGAGGAGATGAGACTGTGGCATGGCTATCTGTCCAGAGGATAATGTCTCACTTTTCTCTCTCTATCTCTCAGTCTTCCTCCAGCAGATATATGTACCCTATGGCTGAAACCTTAAGAAAATTGAGTTACTGTAGTCAATATGTCTTGTAGTCTGTAGCCAGTGGTCAGTGCAGGACGTGGGTGTCAAAGACATGGAAGGGGTGTCATTTTAGTAAAGAGAATAGTGATAACATTTGAGCAAAGACCTGAAGAGGTGAGGCAGTGAGTTATACAAGTGAACTTTAGGACGAGTGATTAACACAGAGAAAATATGATGCAAAATCTGGACTTGCCTTGAATAAGAAAGAAAGAAACTGAAATTTTAAAGTAAGTGTTTTGGAGTGACTACCAAATCCCTACTGTTTTCAGTTGGATACTTTGTAGGCCCAGGGCATTAGTAGGTCTCCTTCCCTCTCCTTCCCTTCCCCTCTTCCCTTTGCTTCCCTCTTTCCTTTCCCCTTTCTCTCCCTCTCTCTCTCTTGAAAGCAGACAGGAAATCTTCACGTGGTTGAACGGGGTCAGGAAATGGCATTTATAATAATATTGGAGAGTACATACTGGTATTGGGGCCACAAGATGCCATTTCTAATCCTAAATCTTCCATTTCCTATGCAACTTCCTTTCCAAGTCTCATTTCTTTATCTGTAAGAGATGTTTTTCAAGAACATCTCAAAGGGCCCTCTGAACTCTACAAATTATTTAATTACTAATTTAATATTTAGATGATACAATGACAACTTCAATTATAAAAAGGCATTTCACTTCCCATGGAACAAAATATATTAAACTTGCACTTTTCCACTCATTTATACCTCCTGGTCCACCTAACAACTTAATTTTTTAGGCAGAGATAATTTTGTTTACTTTGGTGTTTTATGTTTTCTCTTCTTTCTCACTTATTTCTATAACAAAATATTCCTAGAACAGAAACATCCCTAAGGTCACCATCTTCCTTAAGGAATGCATACTCAATTCTGACAGATTTGCGAGCCACCATTATTTTCACGAAGCCTTTTCAGATTTTCTACTCTCTCCTGCCCGACAGACACAACCAGAGCTGAACATTCTCTCCTTTGAGTTCTATTACACTTGTGGCTTTAGTCCACTTTTTCTCCCCTTTATTTTTCCTTTCACATTTCTGGAAGTCAACAAAATTATTCTAGGGTCTAAGCTCAATCTCTTTATTAAATGTTTTAAATTTATTATAGGGTCTAGCATAGGTGTGTTCTTAGAAGATGTATTCCCCCTCAAAAAAAGTATAGAAAGAAAAGAATAATAACAAAAAGAAAAACTCTGCCCTTGATATTTTAGAAAATACTGATCTGAAATGATATAATTTAACATTTCTTTTCATTGTTAGGAACGTAAGTATGTTCACCTTTTTTATTATTATTTATCTTGCAATTATGTAAGAGAACCCTCCTGCATTAACCTAAGAATAGCTTACTTTTGCTATTAACAAATTCGTAAAATCCTGTCAATGAAAGTGGTACTATCTTTTACTATGTTCATAAAATGTCCCTCCAACTTAAAAACTGAAAATCATATACTCTTAGGAACTTAGCACACACTTTTTATAACACAAAAAGACGGAGGTAGTTTGCATTTGTTTTCCCTAAAACACTTGCCTTTTTCTCCCACTGTCTTAATAAACAGCACTATGTAAGACCAGTGTGTCCATGTGGCTAGTTGATCGTTATTTAATGGTTACCCTGGTGCCATCATTCATTAAATAAACACACTGAGTTCTGCAGCATGTGAGCAATATGGTAGGAAAGACAATGAAGAAACCCACCTTCATGAACTTGACAGTGATGGAGTTAATGAAAGAACCGGATTACCACTTAAATATTAGGCTGCGATGTGGTCAAGGAAGGGAAATAAAGGAGGGGACGGAGAAAGGAGTAGGAGAGGCAGAGAGTGAGAGATCTTAGGTCCTCAGGATGGCCTCCCTGAGGTGATAATATTGGGGCAAAGATGCCAAGGAGGCAAAGAACTTTGTGGAAGAGCACTGCAGGTCAGGGTTCAGCAAGTGTGAAGACCCCCCAGGGAGACAGTGCCTTCCTTGGCAGTCCGCAGGTGAGATTAGCTGGGCTGGAGGGGAGAGTAAGGGGAGGAGAAGGCAGGAGTGAGCTGATCAGGGATGCTTGGGACGTGAGAAAATGTGGGGGTTTCTTCTAGGTTAAACAAGGTGCCACTGGGTAACTTTGAGCAGAGTGATACCATCTTAGATCTTAAAAAATCATTCTGGCTGTTGAATAGAAAGTGGGCTGCAAGGTCCAAGGGCAGAGGAGGAGAGAGAGGAGCACTATTACAGGGATCCTTGCGAGAGGGCTGGTGCCAACCGGGATAGAGTGCGGAAGGAAATGGTCACACTGAGAATGTGCTTCCAAGGGAAAATAATAGGACTTCATGGGATGTAGCAGATGAAAGAGAAGTCAGCAATAATCCTAACATTTTCGATTGGAGCAACCAGAATCATGCAATTTCTCATGTATTATTTTATTAAATCGTAAAAAGTGAACTTACTGGCCTCTCTTTTCCAATAAGGAAATCTAGACCATTACCTGAGACCTCACATTTGGTGTGTAGCAGAAATAACGCCCATCCCATCTGGCTCTAAACCTCACATTCCCAACCACTGTATACTACCGCTGCTGCTTGAAGAAAATAGATATTTTAGCAGCTCGTTGGCAAGATGATGGTTTGGGAAACTTTGAAGCAACAGAATGTTCATAATGAATAAAAAAGTAACCAAGTTACATAAAAATTCAAATATAATTG